TACTGAAAAATGGATTTTGAAAACGTCCTACTCTAATGTATTATATTTCCTCTTATTTACTGATATTCACACATGAAAAATTCCTGAATAAACCATATGGGAGAAGGGTGTCAATTTAAACCTGCATACATTGCTAATGATAAATTATTCTAATATTTTCAAAACTCCTGAACAGATGGGGTTCGCTCTAATAATGAGATAAACGTTTTGAAATTTGAGCGGAAAATTTTATTAAATTCAAAATTTTCGCGCCCTAATCAACAAAGCGACAATCGAAAACATTCTAAGTTTCCCATGAGCGAGACAAAAGTCAACGGACACAGTTAGCTCTCCCGAAACTGATGCCCACTCAGAGGCCGAGTTAGCCTTATTGATATATTATAGAAGTTTTTTGTTGTATTTTTTGTTTCGGAGAAAGCCAGTTCCGGTTTTACGAGTGCCAGAAGGCGGCTTGGTTTCCACATCTTGGCCGAAATTGCCCGGATTTGACAAATCCGGCCGATGGACCATTTTTGATAAGTCAAAACTAATGACGAGGAAAACTCTTCAGTTTGGCACTTAACACAAATGAGTTCAAGTTTTGGACTTTTGTTAAATATTTTTGGGTTTTGGGTTTAGATCGATTGTTGAAAGTTACTCTTTTGGCATAACTAAAATGTGTTTCATTGAAAATAATGCCTTAAAATTCTAAAAAAAGTTCTCACGGTCTTTATAATTTTTAGCATCGAGCTATCATCATTTTGTTTGTTTTCAATGAGCATTCTAAGAGGTTTACTTAATGACCTGCTGGATTTTATGTTGCCATGCATAAGTCACAACTTTGTTGAGCTGAGCCAACAAATGAGTGTCAAACTAATACAAATTCGTACATATTTTGTTGCCGATAGGCAAAACCTTTTAGCACCACTAATAGGCTTTGCAATTACTTTTCTACATAGTGAAAACTGAGTTTAATGTATGGATATGTAAGGGTATGGAATAAACATACATTTTGAAATGAATTGTGTAGCTATTTCGTTTGTTGATCTGACGATTTATAAATTAAACTGTCATCAGTTATCTCTATGAATTAAGTCCTTATAAAATTCTCAGCTATAACAAATATGCGTATTCCAAATTGGTTAGGCGGAAACAAGTGAAATTTTGTTAACAGTAAATGCATGGCGCATGAGCTACAGGTGTTTTGACATGACTGGTAATTTCCCAAAATTTCCTTTTCTCGTAAAATTCGACAAAAAAATTTGAGTTAAAAATAAATTAATGGGGATTTATAACCTCCCCCTGGATAAGAAGTTCCAGTTTGCCCCATTTTAAGACTAAAAATCGTAATATTTCAGCTTTTGTTATTCGATATTTCTCAACTTGGTACCGTTTGATTGGGAATTAAAAATGCTAAATAAAAGTATTTGTGAAATTTGTTCATAAAATCTATCCTTTTTTATGTGTAATTTAAATTAAAAAATTTAAAATGGCCGCCATTTTAAAATTTTAAGTTAAATCAAGATGATTTTTTTTTACATGGGTCTCTAATTTAACATACATACCAAGTTTCATAAAGATCGTTTGAAAAAAAAATCAAATATAACAATGTTTATATGAAAAATACAAAATGGTGGATATCTGGTTAACGAAGCGATTTTGGAAAAAATGTTATTCGTGATTTTCTCTTTATTTTGACCCAAGTAATCACTACGTAAATTATTTCCCCACCTTTTTTGAACACCCTGTATCATTGATTATATTACAGCCAGTTTCAGTCTTTAGCCTATCCGTGATGTACCTAAAAAAATAATACTGTTCACAATATTTACACTGTACTCGATGATTCTCCAAATAATATAACTTTTAAATTGATGTTTTTCCAAACCCTATGACCTGCTAATGTAAAATAATTCTATTGCGATGTCACATAGTATAAAAAATGCTGTTAAATGCAGTACATTAAACTATTATTTAAGGAAAATTTAAAAATTGAACAAATTAAAAATGTTAACATAAGATGTTAACTTAAAAAATTCATAAAAATCTAAAACATATTACAGTTATTTGATGCGTATTGTAAACCATAATAACTCCAAGAATTGTGTGTCATGGTCATGCTTCTAAAGATATTTGCGTATCAAGATTGTGTACTGTGTATTTCCTGTATTTTTAGACAGGTAACTTGATTGAAGCAAGATATGTTTTCAAATAACATTTCCAGTAATGATTTTAAGTTCTTGTTTTAAAATTGTCATCCAAACTAATTATTTGCAATAAATTGTATATAGTAAGGTCAATTTAATGGTTTTTGCTTTTATGTTACCTAACAGTTGTAATAAATTGATCCAAAATTGTCTCTCATCAGAACCATTTACACACATTTTACAACAAATTTAAGGTAAGAATTAATTAAATTTTTTTTTTTTTTTTAGAAATCTTTATTGTTTTTTCCATACACAACACAAAATACATTTACACATGAAAAAAGAAAAAAACAATAACCACCTTAGGTTAAAAACCTATGTTGGTGGATTTATACACTATCTTATGTTCTAAAAATCGAAGAGGCGGTTTTGTCCGGTCACTTATATCACTTGGTTATAATATATACAGTGAGAGTGAGTTCTACACAGTGATCTTCTTTCTTCAGTAAGTCAATACACTTACAAACAAAAATGATACAACAGAGTAAGTATTTATATTACTTATTATCTATATTAGTCACTTCTATACTACTGTATATATACTAAATTCCATAAAAGTACATTTCAGCATTTTCCAAACATAATAAATAAGGCCACAGCTGCCTAGAAAAATCTGCTTCTGAGATGGTTTTGAGATTGGATGGTAGAGCATTAAACATTTTAGGTGCAAGGTATAAATAAAATTTCTTGAAAGCTGTTAAATTTGGTTTTGGAACTATTGCATTATACCTATTTCTTAATGTTATTCTCCTTTCAGACATAGATTCAACCTCATCTCCACTTCTTTTATAAAATATTCGTAAAACTTTATACATATATAGATTTCTCAAAGGCAAAATTTCTAACTTTTTAAATAGTGGTGCTGCATGTTCTGTTCTACATTTGTTACAAATTATCCTTATAAAGGTTTTTTGCAAGACAATTAATGGCTTAATTGACGAAAAGTAAGCTCCTCCATAGATAGCTAAACCATACTCCAATTTAGAATTTATCATCGCATAATAAATATTTCTGAGTAGGCGTTGATTACACATATTTTTTAACATATAAAATATCCTGACGTATTGTATTAGTTTATTCTTAACATATTCTATATGGCGTTTCCAATTTATCTTTGAGTCTAAGTGTAATGCCAGATATTTAATTTCCTCTACTTGCTCAACAACAGGACAATCACAATTTGTAGATTGGCAGTTTGTTTGGTGGTATTTTATCGGAGTAATAAAACTTATGTTCCTTGATAGATTAAAAATTACATATTTAGTTTTTGGGCTCATTACCATGAAGTTGTTGGTAAACCACCATCGAAGAGCATTTACATCGTATTGAATATTTAATTTTAAAGTTTCAATGGAATCTGATTTGTAAAATAATGCAGTGTCATCCGCAAAAGCCACTAAATTTCCTCTAAAACGGCTATTACACAAGCTATTTACGTATATTAGAAAAAGAGGGCCAGATAGAACAGATCCCTGTGGAATGCCATGTAATACAGTTCCTTGGTCACTAATCACGCCGTTCGCCCGTGTACGTTGAGTACGTCCAGTGAGATAAGAAGCAAACCATTTATGAGGCACACCTCTTATCCCAGCTTCATGAAGTCTATCCAACAAAATACCATGATCTACAGTATCAAAAGCTTTCATGACGTCGACAAAAATGCCAGCACAATATTTACCTTCATTTAAACCTCTATACACTTGACTCATAAAATGTAATAACGCCGAATTAGTGCTTAGTTTTTTCCTGAACCCAAACTGCCCATCACTAAAATATTTGTACTTTTCTAAAAAATTTATTAGTCTAGTCTTAACTATTTTCTCAAACATTTTAGAGAATATAGATAAAAGAGCAATTGGTCTGTAATTGCTTGGATCTGTTTTAACACCCTTTTTGAATAACGGTTTTACAATAGCTGTTTTTAAATCATTGGGAAATTCACCTGAATATAAACTAAAATTTATTAAAAAAACAAGAACCTCAACAATATAAGTAGAAATTTTCTTAATAATCAAAGGAGTAATATTATCATATCCTGTTGCTTTCCTGTTTTTTTGCTGTTTGTTTTTAAGCGATTTGATTATGCCAATAACCTCGTTTTCGCAGGTTGGATAGAAAAATATTGAATTGTTACATGTAGTTGTCTGAAACATGGGTTTATATTCGTTTACTAGCTGGGGAACTATCTGTTGTTCTAATATAATACTTTCTCTCAACTCCGTTGCTATAGAACAGAAGAATCCGTTTAATTTATTTGCAACTGCTTCAGGGCTTGTAATTAACTCTTTATCGTCACCTTTCAATACAATAAGTTCTGCATCTTTCTTATTTTCTCCAATAAGGGTTTTGATTGTGTTCCATTGTTTCTTAGGATTTTGATTATTTTCGACTAATATTTTGCTGTAGTACTCATTCTTTGTTAATCTTACTTGGTTTATTACATAATTTTTAAAAACATTAAAATACAATAAATAAATAAACTTTGTATATAAAAGGTATTGTGTTATGAAATGTTTAATATTTGTAATGACCAATTTTTCTTTCCAAATCAGGGGTCTGAGTGTCTCTCATGGCAGTATTTAATAAGGTATACGTCATTATCTAAATACTAAAATCGTTGTAATTGTAGTCATTATTCATAATTCCTTTCAGTTCGCGCTTGTTATGTTCAATTTTATCACTATGTTTGACAATTTTAACTATTTTTCATTAGGTGAACACGTCTTGACGAGTTACTAGATAGTGTGATTGACCAATAAAATACTACTGTAATTGTCCTTTAAATGGTTTGTGGGAGGTATAAAAGTCCGTACACGACAGTAGAAAATATAATTCTCAACTATGGCTCGTCTTCTGGTGGTAAGTTGATAGACTCTTGCTTAGTTTTTGCCACACACTTTGTTCAAAACTAAAATTTTATTTAGTTTTAAATGATAGTGACTTTTATATGTAAACAATAAGCAGATTTAGATTAAGCATAACCTCCCTATATTAACAAACCGGTAATAATTTGAGGCATCATAAATTAATAATGTTCATTTATGTGGAAGGATATTATAACTTTATATATTTATTTTCATGTATGCCAACAGAAAAGAAACGTTTGCCATAGACGATGATTAAATAAATAATTAATAAAATAAAATACATAATAGTGAATTTTATCCATTTTAGGTTAAAGTAAAACATACTAAAACCATTATTTTTATTATAAGCCTTATTATAGTGTCATCTGCTTAACTTCTAAAAACAATACCACCGCCGCAGCAAACCTGCAGACTAATCGAAGCTCTATTTGCCTGTTTATATTTACATTAAAATATTTCCTTTAAAATATAAAATGTATTGCCTATTTATATAACAATAGGTTTTACGAGTACTTAGATTTGCTGCTACAGCGAACCTAATGAAGATTATTTTCTAGTGAAATGTTTAAAAAAAGTAAAACGGTCCAGCGGACCATGAGACCAACGGTAATAGCTTATTCCCTTAAGGGAAATTCACTAAACATGTTCAAACTTAGGAGTTTGTGACAATTACTCCTCCGAAACTCCTGAACCGATTGACATGTTTTTGGTGTCGTTGGAAAGAGCAGAACGTGAAGTTGTGCAGGAAACTTTCTTTTTATCGAAATAATTTGAGAGTGAGGCCCTGGAGCCCTTTAAAGTTTTTTATTTCTCCATAAGATTAACATGAGGAAAAATTGTTATGAAACTCCAGCTGTTGTCAGAAATTATTGGGTTGGCGTAAACATTACAATGGAAAAAAGCGAGAGAGCCTGGATAATTTTATATAATAAAGAGAAAACTGAATTAACACTGTGCTGCATTTAATTCTTAGTAATTATTGACAGAGCCAATTTGTAAACTATGGAAACATAGGAGTCATAGAACACCACCAAGGAGAAGAAATATGTTTTTTTTATATTTATAATCGTTATTATGGACAACCTAATACGGCTATGAGTAAGGCTATTTGTATAAAACACTTTAAAACAAGATCAGCTTTTGAAAAATGATCAGATATTTACAAGAAATGTTGATTATATCGATTTGTTATGTACATCTTGAGTATTTCCATAATTTTTAAGTCGAATCTTTTAAAGTCATCAGAAACTATCGCTGTTGTTAGTTTTAAAATAACGCCTGTAATAATTAGCAATTGCTCGAATTCGAGCAACAGGTACACTAGTCCTATTAAAAAATACCTATTTTAGAACCTGACATTCAATATTCGCCAAGCGGGGACATATTGTGAACCCCTATTATCGCCTTTGTATGAATATTTGCAACCTATAATCAAGATATTTATTTGAATACCATTTTCTTACTATTATAGCTGTAGATATCACTTTTATCTAGGATACTCCCGTTGAACTTGAGTTACTCGTTTTCTGTTTAACGTTTAGTCATAAATATACTGTAATATATTTATGTGTATTCTTACACTTAAAATTAGACAATATACTATGCTGCAATGCATAAACTCTTCTTACTGCAAATACAGCAATGTGTTTCCAAGTCTTCTTTTTCTTCTCCTAAGCTATACAAAATATTCATTTTTCTAGCTAATCCACTGTTCAGAGCATTTCATCAGCTTCTTTGCATTTAGCGTACCGAAGATAAAGATTGTATGTTTAAATGGGTACTAGCTTGACAATGTAACTCATATACTTGGGGTCCGTAATGCATGTGGAACTCCAGAATATTAAATTGAAATGTTATAATATTAAAGTATTATTATTTATTATTTGTTATCTTGTCTTAGTTAATATTATGTAAAATGTGTGTTATATGTACCTACCAAGAAGACTGCATGGACTTTCTAAAATAGACTTAAACTTTAATGCTGCATTGTAATTGGCTCTGTTCCTGTAATGCAGTGTTGCCATTTAAATAAATAAATTGTTATTATTTATAACTCCAAAATTTTTATTTGTTATTATGGTCAGTTAATTGTATTAATCAATATTAGTCCTTGAACTTCACACGATAATGCTTGCTATATAATGGTTTACAATTCTATTTAAAAAAAACGTATATTTTTTTAACAACTTTAAGACATACTTAAATCGTATTTTTGACATAGACCTGTTTGAAATTTATATTAATTAAAACATCCTTTGGTAAAGTATCTTTGGGGGGAAAATGAAGTCGACGAACTGATCAAGAATGAAATTCCTAAAAATCTAAAAATTCCTCGTACTTCCTTCGTTATTTGGGGGCTCTTCTTAGTACAGATTGGAACCAGTATGAAGATGTAGATACTTTATAATTAAGTTTTGCACACAAGTAACACTAGTAAAACGTTCAAACAAAACAACTTGTATGCATAGGCTTAAGCTCATATTGACCTAACAAAATGTTGTATTAGTTGCAGGTGATCTTGCTCGCAATGGTCGTAGACGCTGTCTATGGTTACGGTTGGAAAAAGAACATAAAACGTAATGAAGGATCATACGATGAAGAAAATCATGGGGAGGATCATGGGGACGATAAAAAGGATGACGAAGAAGACGAATATGACAGCAAAGTTGGCAAATACAGCAAAAATAAAGACGCCCCAAAAGAGAAAGAATACACCAAAAAGAAGGATGAGCCAAAAAAGAAAGAATCCAGCGGTAAAAAAGACGTAGGTAAAGGAAAGAAGGCAACTAAAACAACTGTAAATCACGATGATGGGGAGGATGAAAAGGGTGACGAAAAAGACGAATATGGCAGCAAAGTTTACGAATACAGCAAAAAGAAAGACGCCCCAAAAGAGAAAGAATACACCAAAAAGAAGGATGAGCCGAAAAAGAAAGAATCCAGCGGTAAAGACGGCGTAGGTAAAGGAAAGAAGGCAACTAAAACAACTGTAAATCACGATGACGATGACTATAAAAAGTGAGAAAAAGCCAGGATCACTGATTCCAAGGGAAATTGCAAATTGTTTTTCCTTTTTTTTGTTTTAAATTATACATAATACTTTGGTGTGAATCAATAAAAATTAATTTTAACTCATCTCTGTATTACGCATGCTACTATAAATTCCTTAAAAATATGCATAAGGGCTTGTGCAACAACACCAAATAATATAATATCCTTTATAGTTATTATTCTTTACTCTTTACTAATGTAGTTATGTTGTAGTTACGTTTGATCAAAATATCGTACACACAATATTTTTTAGTACCTGAAAACATGTTGGTGCTGAGAAACATGTTATTACTAGTACAAAAAATAATAGCCTAGGTCCAGAAGCAGAACAATATTAAAAAAAAAACCAAATGCAAAAAAGATTAGTAACAAAGTGTTCAGTAGTTTAGTTTTTTTAATGGCTAAAAATAAACTGTCCAGCGAATAATTTACTTGAATGTAACCAATAGTCGTAGGAATAGGTATAAAAATTTATTATAAATTATCATTTAAAAAATGCAAAATATGTTTTAAGAAAAATGGCTACTAATTCAGTCAAATAAATAATGGTTCCCACGTTAGATCGAAAATGAATTAAAATCAGAGAATATGTACAAATATTATTGCGTTTTTGACACATGTATTTTGTATGTTTTGTAAAACAAAATGTACAGTGGCCTTTAACCGGGTGTTACTATAAAGACAATTCACCCTTAAAAAGCGAAAATGGCATAAAATCAGAAATCCTTTACTTGATCAACCGTCTCAAACTCAGGAATAAACTTTTATTCCGAAATAGCTGCTTATGTAAATATATGACTTTCAAAATTATCAATGAAAACTAAGCGAGCTAGTTATGGTTTATTAACTATTTTCGTATTAAGTTAAACTTCTTAAACTTTCGTCTGAATCAATCTTACGATTTTGAAGGTCCTTGAATTTCTTTCTGCAGTTTGGTCATTATAGTAGTTTACGCAACTTTTGCGTAAAGATGTTGCTAACGACACGAGTAGAAAATTTAAGGTACGAGCCTTGGAAAGTGCTTTAAAAACTTCTACGAGTGTCGTAAACACGATTTACGCGAGTTGCGTACACTACATTACCTACGACAGTTTTTAATTACTAAAAATCACTACTCATAACTTCTAAGAGAGGTTATTTTGTCGTGTATAACCTCTCATTGCCACTGACATTGATGCAACGAAACATTGTACCAAACACTAATTGCACCACTAAACAATTAAATTGGCCTGAACAGCTGATTAGTTGAAGTTCGAATCATTACAATTTTACTTCTACTGTTTCAATCCTTGAACCTCATTGGTCTGTTACCCGTGTTGTTATAAGTGAAACTATGCTGTTATGAAAGTAATTAATGCTGATATGTGAAACTTTTCAATTCTAATAACTGAACTGTAATGGATACTTTAAAAATGGTTGTAGGTAAAGTAATTTATTTAACTATATTTAGATAAATTACATTGATTATAGTAATACATCAAATACATACAAAGTCTCTTATCTTACTTGTCTTATTTACATTTGTAGAACTTCGTACACCCATGACTACCCGTCAGCAAATAGCCCACTGACACGGTAGTAGCATTTAGATATTAGTAATTTCCCAAGGTTTTTTTAATTACAGGGTTTGACTAAATTTTTTTATTATTCTGCAGAGTATTGGAGAGTAGGATTCGTTATAATAATGACGTTTTTTTTAAGTGGTATCTGAAGATTTAGTCTGTTCTACGGAGAATATGGGCAAGATCTGTGGTTTGTAATAAAGATAGAGAAGTACAAGAATGTACAAGGAAGGAAATTAAAAATACTTAAACGCAAAAAAATCTTTACAAAAAGTTCTTGGGCTGATTTAAAAGTTGAATTGCTCTCTTTTGAAGTCGAAATAAACAGCGAGTTCTTTCATTCTCACATCACTGGTACTGCGTAGACCAAATAAGGGAAGATGACAACATAATAGGCTGTCAGAAGAACATTTGCCCAACATCATAGTCTAAACTAGCCTATTTTTAGTAGGCTAGCATCTCTTCTTATACAACTCCGCACACTTGCATCCTACTGGAGCATCTCCTTGCCTTTACTTTCATCGTCCCATTTTGAGTTGTACGGGAAAGTTCCCATCCTCACGATTCTCGTCCAATGACACTGATCGGCGTTTGTCGTAAGAAAATTGTGTGAAACCACCAATGCTTACATGCTATATATCATTTTCGTTAACAATATTTTTTTTAGAGTGTTAAAACACAATAATTGTGTTAATAATTATTATTTATCATGAACTCTCGTTCAGTATTTTTGTAATCCTCTTTCGACCATTTTTACTGTGCTTACCTCTGTTTTTGGATGCTTACCCTTCTGTTTTCATATTTTCCTCTGTATTCCTACCTATTTTCCATGTTCAATCTTAAGGTATTTTGTTTAAAAACGGGATAAAAAGTTAAAAAGAAAAATACCATAAAGGTTAACACTGAATTATTAAATCGTATAGGCTCCAGTCCTTTTTTGACGGTATAACAATAGCATATCTCCAGGATAACTTTTATAGTAAAAAAACATTTCTTAAATAATGTAATATAACTTTAGTACGAACACTTTTAAATTTCTCCCCCTATTCATGGTATATGGAGAAAGGATTTGTTTTCCACCCTGAGCCCAAAAAAGTGGTTTTCGAAGTGATGTCTGTGTGTGGATGTGTACAGAGCTCCAGACCACACCTGTAGTCAGATTTTGATGAAATTTAGTACTTATGTACTAGTAGGTACTAATCCACGGTATCTCCAGGATTTTTTTTTTCATTTTTATAATATTGATTTTTAATTGTAATTTCCCCATAATACCCCATAAAATAACGGAAAAATTGGATTTTCTTGAATATGGCCTGAACGATTTTGATAAAATAATGGTATGTTATAATCCTTAAAATTCTGAACTAAATGGTTTAAATCAAATTACCGTAAAAATTACGGTTCAAAAGTTATTGTAACCTGTGTTATTTTCCCATAAAACCCATAAAATTCATAGTTACTCCCACCGCTTACCCATTTTAAAGGTGGTTGAAAAGCTGTTGGGAGAAAATATGTGTCAGATTGCTGATACCGTTTATTTCATCTGAATGATTAGGCGAATCAAACTGTAGACTTTAGTTTGTGTCCCAGCTACAATAAACATATTTTTAACTATAATGATTTGCACTATGAAAACTATAGCCATAGGTAGGTATTGATTTTAATCACTTGTATTTAGGTGAATGATACGCAAAACACTTTAAACTCAAACATATGTAACATATCAAGCATCAGCGAAGCATGACTAATTGATCAGAAAAGCGAATTAACCAATTAGCATTTACTGATTGTTTTAACTATTTGTCATAATCCCAATGATTGATGGTTTTGAACAAAATTACTTATATTTCCATAAATTTAAATTGCATACTTAATGGCTTTCCTTAGAAATGGTTAATAATCGAAAACAAAACATCGGATATAAGTAAACAATGATTGCAGAATGAATTATATTACAGCTTTCTTATTGTCAAATTCGAGCTGGCTCTTTATTCAAGATCATTTAATAAAATGATCAAGGATAAAGGTCATAAATTTTTAACTAAATCAGCTGTTTGAAATATAAATCAAATAAATTACCACGGTTTTCAAAACATAAATACAAAGCCAAGGTGAACATTTATAGCACTGTATTTCGGCCCTGGAAATATTGAGTTTTAATAATTCTCCGTTTTTTTAACTAGGCATCTCACCTAATAAATATATATTTACGGAAAGTAAATAAAAGAAACGTCTTATAACACTTAAACGGTTTTAAGTAAATTTAAGTAAATTTAATAACACGTACAATGCTGATCAAGAAGTTATTTATATATATTTATGCCAGGTTTTTAAATTCGAGCAACCTTGTCTTTGGTCCCGTGGATGCTCTATTAAATTGATCTAATATCCTAGTAGTATATTAAACTATACATCTTAAGAATTCACTTACATTAATAATTTACATTTGTTATCTTATCTACTAATATCATTTACTTCTAGATCCCTCACCTTCATTGGTTGATTCAAGTTCATTGGTGATATTTGTTCATTAAAGGCATTATAAACTTGTTTAAGATAAAGCTTTTATTATAACAAAACGTACTTTATACACAAGATATAACAAAAACGGTCGTTGGACGGGTATCAAGAGTATACCAGTGTTTGGTACTAGGTACTGAGAAGTTAGCAGGAGCAGGACTTCTTCGACTGAGGTCCTGGCCCCGTTAGTGATATGTACTCGGAGGATTCACTGGAGCTAAAGCTTTGATTTCCTTCTTGCTTGATCATGACGTCTACAAGGAATCTGCAACAAAAAGATCAATTTACGGAACATGAAACTGTAACTCTACCAATCAAGGACTGGCCCCCGTTTAAGAAACTGTAACTGTACCAATCAAGGACTGTCCTCAGATCAAGAAACTGTAGCTTTACCAATCAAGGACTGTCAAAAGATCAAGAAACTGTAGCTATACCAATCAAGGACTGTCCTCAGATCCAGAAACTGTAGCTGTACCAATCAAGGAATGTCCTCAGATCAAGAAACTATAGCTTTACCAATCAAGGACTGTCCACAGATCAAGAAACTGTAGCTGTACCAATCAAGGAATGTCCACAGATCATGAAACTGTAGCTGTACCAATCAAGGAATGTCCTCAGATCAAGAAACTATAGCTTTACCAATCAAGGACTGTCCACAGATCAAGAAACTGTAGCTGTACCAATCAAGGAATGTCCACAGATCATGAAACTGTAGCTGTACCAATCAAGGAATGTCCTCAGATCAAGAAACTGTAGCTTTACCAATCAAGGAATGTCCTCATATCAAGAAACTGTAGCTTTACCAATCAAGGACTGTCATCAGATCAAGAAATTGTAGCTGTACCAATCAAGGACCGTCCACAGATCAAGAAACTGTAGCTGTACCAATCAAGGACTGTCGTCAAATGAACAAACTGTAGCTGTACCAATCAAGGACTGTCCTCAGATCAAGAGACTTTTGCTGTACCAATGAAGAACTGTTCTCAGTTCAAGAAACTGTAGCTGTACCAATCAAGGACTGTCCAAAACTGATTTTGGAAAGAAGATATTTAGTTTTCATGAATGTCAACTTGTGTAATACCCTAGTCTAAAATTATCTGTCAAGACTACAAACCTACACACCAGAGTAAAGTATAAACTTGCACCCTGACGGTGCAGATGAATTTCCCTATCGTAAAAAATACCTATTTTTGACGTTATTGTAATCTTTGATTACGTAAAGAACGCTTTTCTATAGAAGAACATCCACACTCACTGAACTGACTCACTCACTGAACAGTACAATATATTGTAGACATAAAACATCAGCTTGTATATATTTTTTGATATCCCACTTTCAAAACATGAATTTTATTATATTAACTTTGTTGTTGTTGCCTGCGTTATTGGGTGTTCTTGAGACGGATACTGACTTACCTAATCATGAACATAGGCAACTACAACAAAGGTAATCTAATATAAAACATCAGCTATTGAGATTAGTACACTAATCATGTAATGTATCATGTAAATGGGGATAAAGAAAAATATACACTTCAAGACTTCAAGAAAGAAAGTTGATTTTCATATTGAGGAATGAATCCATCTTTACTTAAAATATTGACAGTTTGTAAATAAGATAAAATAAACATATCGTAATATTATTGTGGCTGCAGCTACTCCGCACAGGTGGCAAGTAGACCTATTATTCAACACACAAAGTCAATGTTAACATCTGACCGGATTCAGTTAAAATCGTCTTACTTAATTCCAATATGAGCATTCCTGGTAGTCAAAAAACGTAACCGTTTAAACTCTAGCTGAAAATTGGATGACTGACTCGACGAGCCCCATTGTTATTTCCCTTAAATTAGATAAAATACATGTTATTTTCGTGATTGAAATTTCAACGATCCATAATTCAAACTTACAATAGACCACACGTTACTTGAATGAGGCTTCAAAACCGCCAATACCAAAAAGGGAAAAGTTCTCGTTACTTTGCAATGCATACGTAGACTAAAATGGGTAGGTAAATATTTGGGTGGGAATTAGTTTAAATGTAAAAATAAGTTGAGAGTTTTAGGAAGTATTTGGCGTTTATAAATAATCACAATTTTAAAATTCCATGTACATTTATCTCGTGGTGTTAGGGGATTTCTTATAACCCAAACAATCTTAACTAGTAAAACCATTCAACACGACTTCTTTCTGTTTCAAATATCGTATTTGTACAAACATAGTTACTACTTTGCCCGTTGCCGTCGACCTTTGAGGGGAAATGGTGGCTTGATGTTGGGAATGACAATACTACTGAAGACAAAGTCATCATGGATCCATTGCATGCACTACTTTAGTTTCAAGCAGTTTGCTAAGTCACCCTTTTAGCGAGTTCCCTTACTATTCCATTGCCTGTTTACTTCGCTCAGCGATTGTCAACATGAAATGCCACAAGGGAAAGTTTAGGCTCTCAAATGTGTGTTTTGAGGGCATTATCTTAAGGAGAAAGATTTTTATTTCAAGTTTGTCAACAATTTTAACCGATCACCAGTTGATGGTTAAAATAAACTGGTACTTAAAAATGTACTTTTTCTAGTTTGAGTGGTTGGTTTCAAGATTAAGCAAATGACCTCAAACCTATGTTTGCGAATCAAAGTTACAATTGTTTAAACCATGATTTTGAATATTGATTTGTATGGTAATATTGGTAAGGTATACAGCAAACATAAAAACTTAATTTTAAACAGTTTTTAAGACGACGAATGGGTAACTTAACCTTTTTATACTTAACATAGAAACCCCTTGCTGAGAAAGGAATATGACTTAGAGAAAATATAATTAAAAGATTCGTTTGAATTTTCTACGCTCTACGTACATGCATCAATTAGAATAATTATCACATCATCAAACAATTCATTGGAACTAATTATCTAATTAAATTACGGAGGCTCACTTAATTTGGAAACAACGATATGTTTTTAGATTCAATTTATCTCTATTCTCGTAATAAGCTAAAAAAATAACTACTAACAAGTTGTTATTTTGATTAAAAAATATTTGTTTCACAAATGTTAAATAAAACTAAACAGCCGAAAAAGCCTTAATTGGTGACTATAATGGTCATCTATAATGTTGATTATTTTGTAGCGTATTTTGCAATAAACACGAATATCATGACACCGTAACAGTTATGAGCACTTTCATCCTTCTTCTAAAAAAAATAAGAAAACTTATGTGTCAAATAAGTGTAGTAACAAAGAGACTATATTCCCTTCATGATCACTCCTGGATTAAGGTCATAGCCCTTAACAACCTAGGACAAGGAGATAATTAAATAATCTAGGACACACTTTAAATTACTAACAGCCAATAAAAATGTAAATTGAAAACTTTTACAAACGTGTTTAGCATTTTAATCTATGGCTTTCTCGAAATTAAATGTTATAAACTCATTTGGACACCATAACCATCCAGCTTCCCAAAAGCTTTTAGCACGCTACAAAATGATTTCTAAGAATGGAAGTGTTCCTAATATAAGCAATTGAAACGCTGAGATATCTCATTCGATGGATGGACATCCCGTTTATTAACCAATTTTTAAATGCACAGCACTCTAGTTTCGAAAGGATTACGATCGTGAAAACAACATGGAAACATAGCCTTGACGTTACTTTTATTCGATTTCCATGACTCGCTTATAAGTGAACGAATGTAAAACAATAGTAATATACATGTAGTACACATAATATAGTATATATAGTCAATGTGTGTAGCGTTGGTATTAATAAAAAAGTTAGAACTGGAAATGTTATGTTCGGTAATCCAACCATATTAATTTGTTTGGCAACAGAAATCACTTTACACTATACATGTAGTCCACACACATTCGAACAGTTTTTCTTAAGTAGCTTCAAAGGACTAACTTTATTTATCTGTAGGCCTATTTAGCCAAAAGCCACTGCAAAGCACGAATAAAGATATTAGCACGCTGCAAAGTACACATTTGTTATTTGACAAATCCTTTTAAACGCATATTTTCTGCAAGTAAGCATGAAATTTTTTTTGAACATTTCTTAATTCTTCATCGTAATAGTTAATGGTAAAATAACGTGGACATTCTTTTGACCGCATCTTTACAGCAACAGGTAAATAAGCATAAATGTCCTTTGGACGTATCTTTACTGCAATAAGTAAACGTAAATGAGCGTAAATGTCATTTTGAACGTATATTTACTGTAACAAGTAAACTTAAATGACCGTAAAAGTCGTTTTGAATGTACATTTACTGTAACAAGTAAACTTAAATGAGTATAAAAAAAGTGAGCTAAATGAGCGTAAATATCCTTAATTAGCGTAAATTAACGTAAAAGTCCTTTTGAACGTATTTTTACTGCAACAATTAAACGTAAATAAGCTTAAATGTTCTTTTGAACGCATCTTTACCGCAAAAAGTAAACGTAAATTGACTTGAATGTCCTTTTCAATGTATACTTACTGTAACAAGTAATATTAAATGAGTATAAATGTCCTTTTCTGCAAAAATTAAACGTAAATAAGCCTAAATGTTTCTTGAACGCATCTTTACCGCCACAAGTGAACGTAAATAAGAGTAAATATCATTTTGAACGTATATTTACTGCAACAAGTAAACATAAAATAACGAGAGTGGATGTTATTTTGAACGCATTTTACTGCAACTAATAAACGTAAATTATTGTAAAATGCCCTTTTGAACGTATCTTCACTACATTGAGAAAAATGAGTGACTCACAGAAGCCTGAAAGAAGTAGGAGAACGGTAAATGGTGATGGGTGGTGGGCACGCAGTGTGCATGTACCACAGATGTCAGAGTGTAAACAAGCAGATAACGGACAACAAGTAGCGCGAAAAGGTCATCTAAGTGGACAACCCTGTAAACTTACCGTGGTTACCGTCGTTGGGAAAATGGGCAAATAAACCACTTAGGATCTGTGTAATGGAGTCACGGAGTCAACGGATTCAACTGGAAGTTGGTCGTTGTTTGTTCTCTTGCCTACTTGCTAAATCATATGATCATAAGATAAATTTTCAACAAAAAAGTTTTTTTAGTCCCACCCAGTCCAACCTAAACAATTACTAAAGATAATTCATGAGCTTAACCTAATTATGATCATAATTTTATTTTCATTTTCAAAAGAGTTGTGTAGCCTCTGGATTACTTTTGGATACTTTGGTTTGAATACCTATATAAATTATCCTTGGTTGTTGTAATAGGAACTAATTTAGGTTAAAAAATTAACCATATTT